TATTTATATATTTATATATATATATATATATAATACACGTATATTTTTTTATTTTAAATGAAAACGAAAACTGCAGGGTTGTCATATTTAGTTTGATTGTAAAAATACTTTACAGTAAAAAAACGGATTAAATCTATTAGCAAGACCAGCTGAGGTGGTGATGTCATCAAGTAAGCTGCTGTTCCAATTGTCCATACTGCGTTCTCTGGACTTGTGAACTTGGGTATTGAGAAAGGCCCAGTATCTACTATGAAGGCATAGTATGCTTTGAGCGAGAGGGGCGTCCCCTAGCGCGCGATGAATATCACTGCTCTTCTGCTCGCGAAACTTTCACCTGCTCGCTCACGAGTAGATTTTCTTTTTGACACTAAGTGGGCGGACCAGGTCTCCATTGTTTAACTACATTTAATTGATTACAATCCTCGTTTTTGGACTGGCCGGATATCACTTAAACACAGACGGTAAAGAGGTGGTTTTTAATCCACCACTAAACACTACTCCACTACAACTCAGAGTCTGACAGGTTTTATAAACGTTTCAGACTGTAGAGGCTGATGAAATACAAAGTATGTTAATAGCATTTTGAAATACAATAATTAAAAATGTGTTTCTCTTGTAAATAAACTGGAGTCAAGTTGCAAAGATTGATTTAAATTCACTCCATCATTCGATTACAGACAATGTGTGTTTGATAGTCAAACCTCTTGTGACAAACAGCTCAAAGAAACTCTTTGATTTTAATTGATTAAAACATGATGTGATCATATTTAATCATTGAACCACTGTTTGTATATTAACTCTTTGCCAAGTGAGTTCCCAAACTTAAATCACTGACAAGTAATTAGTGGATGAAAAATTATTCTGATCCTTCACTGCAGTAAATGTACTAATACCAAACTGATGAAACAATCCACGTCGAGTATCCCTGCATTCAAAACCTTAGTGAAGTATGTTATTATCAGCAAAATGTATTTTAAGTATCGAAAGTAAAAGTACCCGTGCAGTAAAATGTACCTTGTCAGTGTTTTACTATTACCTGTATATCTTATGTTTTAGGATATATACGTATATATATATATATATATATTGCTGCATTAACGTGTATGCTGCATGTTTTTAATTCCTTTATATACTGTTGGTTAGTTTAATCTACAGCAATGCATCATATTCTATAAGAGCATCGTATGTTTGTAGTGTCAGTACAACATTATTTACCTCTGCGATGTAGTAAAGTAAAAATGTATCATATATTACTTTAAGTAAAACAAACTTTTTTCTTTGAGTCTGTGTACAATTTTAACCGAAGAGTGGTGAGACCGACAAAGGGATTGTGAAGAGCCATACACAAAAGAATAACCCCTGTTCTGATTATGGCTTTTTATGGCAAAATATACTATGACTTATTATGGAATGTTATACTATGACTTTTTTATAACCTGTACTGTAGTTGACCTCTTGGCATTTAGCTTAATGCAAGACAAAGATCATTTACTTAAGTAAATGAGATGATTATGACATATGACTTATAAAATGCTTATCTTCAAGGTGATTTAATAGTATTATTAGTCGTATAGTAATAGTATTTCTCAATTAATGTAATAGAAATATAGTGACAACAAATAAATATTCTCCCTCTCAATTGTACTATGAATGGAAATGGAGTAAACATACTAATTTAGTTTGGGAAATTGCAGAGATGCACAAGCAGTAAAGCAAATCACATGAAATATTGCACATATTTTTATTGCAAATGATATGGTTTACATAAGTTGAAAATACAAGCTTTGTTATTTTTCACTATACATGCACTGAAAAATAATGTTAGCCACAAGAGACACATCAGATGAGCATTTCAGCAAACAGTACTGACTGACCAAAGGCCACCCACATTATATTCATGGTTGATATGCTGTCAAAATATCACATTTGACATTTAATGTAGTTTTGCCAAGCATCTGAAATTCTATCTAACAACCATGCAGAAGGCAAAAGTTATTGCAACACTTTATATCCCCTTGACGAAGAGGTTTAAAGAAAATTCACATTCAGTTTTACGTAAGCACCTGAGAGCAGAGTGGACAGAGAAGGCACTTAGTGCTGATGAAGCAGTGCTTTGGAAGAATAGTTTATACCTGTTCAAGTCCTGCACAGCATGGAAGTATAAAAGAGACCGCACTTTCAGTAACAGTTAACATTTCGTTTTTAATTAGCCTGCCTGGTTTACAAAAAGGGACATGTATAAAAATATAAAGAACTAAAGGCAAAAAAGCTGACATTCTTACTTAAATGCTCCATAGTTCCAGCTTAAGGCACAAACAGCTGTACACTATATAAAGCCATTTACAACAGTGTATGTACAGCTTCTTGTACTTCATGAGCTTTTCAAAAATTACGCCGAAAAACATTCTATTCATGTGTTTTGTACATTTTGTATAGCTACATTAATAATTAAGGACTATGTAATAACTTAGAAATAAAATTGTTCATTAAAAACTACAATCGATTACCAAATACATGGACTACACAGTATTCGTTGTGTAAGATGAAAACACCTGACCTCTTTTCCAAGTGTTTGTAAATCGTGTGAATTATGTGCTTTGAATTTTGATAGTTTTACTTCAAACTAGAAGCCATATACCACATTTTGAATTCTTGTTTTGTCATTATTCATTTTTTGTATGATAACAAGTAAACGCAGCCATTATCTTATGTAGGATATAGAACCCAAAATTTCATTGGCTCATTAAATCTGTTAACTTCAGACACCTCACTCACTTACTTGAAGCTTTCAAGAACATTTGTTGAGTAGCACTTTGATTCTTGGTATAATTATCTTATGATCATGCAAATGAATATCTGGCAAACAAAGAAATACTGCGTTTAAATCTTCAGTTGCTTTAGGAAACTAGCCTCAGAGTCGACCAAGGATGAGGAAAAGCTCTAACGAGAAAGTCAGAACAGACATACATATGATTAAAAGTGTGCAAATATTTGACGTGTAGCTACAGAGCATACACTCCCACAGTGAGATGACCTGAAGGGAGCCATGTCCAGATGCAGATTGCAGACAGCAGAATGTAAGTTGCTATGTAAACTATGCGGATCACTGGAGTAAAGCATAATGTCTTGCAGTCACACTGTGTAATCAAGATCAGCATTCCGCTTATTGTACATCTCATAAATAGCATCAACAGTGGCGGTGAAGTTGATGAGGAATTTTCTGATTTTTTCCAAGCATTCCTCTTCCTTGACATCCCGTCCCTTGGACAGCGCCTTCATGAAATCTGCCTTATATGGAGCAGCGAAAAGAGCTGCCTGGAAGAGCAAATAAAAATGCCAAATTTGTGCTCAACTCTGTGCAGTTAGCACACTCTGCGATACTCGTCTTCACAAATAACAAACAAAATGATACATCTGCTTGCTTATATATGTATATATTATATATATATCTCTCATAAAAGACATGTATATCAACTCTGAACTCACCTTGAAGAGCTGTTGCACAAACCAGCCATGATACCGTTTAAGGGCTATTTCATAGGCTTTGGTGACATTGACTCGAATGAGGTTTGGGTTGCTATCATCTTTTTCACCGTCCACCAGGCTCTGTAGGAAGACTTGAATAAATCGTAGACCCCTGGTCAATAGAGAAGTTATGCACAGTGGTTATGGGTGCAGACCTTGCTCAAAATTGAATACACACTCGAAACCCAACAGTCCATCAAACCTGAAATGTCAAAATTCTCAAACCTTTTAAGCCACATTAGTGCCAATGTTGCTCCAGCTCTGGGCCATTCTGCTCCATGTATTTCTTTCTCTGCCTCCAAAATATGCTGGAGTGTCTTGAACCGTCCTGGGTTGGTTTCGTAAACCGCCTTGATTTTCTATTAGGTAATCAGAACCTTTTTTATTGTATCATAACGTTACTGAGAAATGTAAGAGGAGAGCCACAGATTTAACTTAGGTCACATGAAAGAATACTCATACTTACTGTGATGTTACCAGATAGATCTGCCTTTAATGGGGCAAAGATAGTAGAGCCAAGGCAGTCTGAGGAGGAATATTTACACAGAGAGTGACTGAGAATTTAGGGAGGGACATTTTACACGTGTAAACAAAACTATTTATTGAGCCTATCAGACAATATCATTACATTATTTGGAGCATCTCATAGTGACCACAAAGCTCTATCAACATAGAAGCTAAAAAGATAACTGTAAAAGCTTGACTTTATTGCAGTTGTGCATGTGTGGCTTGCAATCATGAAAATGTCTTAATATTTGAACTAGTCACTTTGTGCAGATACTACATTGCTTCCTGGATCTGAATATTTCAATTGATTTACATTATGTATGATACAGCTTTAGTTACGTGGTGGACCAAGCAGACATACACAAGGCAAAGTTTAAAAGGGAAATGTTGGCGCTTTTAAACCGGCTTTGTATCGTTGCTATAAGGGTGGTATGTGCAAATGAACGATGTTCGGCTTCCCTCTGTGTTACCGGTGCCGGTTGCTCCGTGCTCACACGCTGCTCATTTGTCGAGGAGGATCCAATACAAAGCCGGTTGACAATTGACAAAAAATCCCTTTAAGACTGCACCTGTAACCAAGGGTCCTGGAATACACCTGTACATCACTGCAGCGAGGTGAGAAGTCAAACCAATGGAAAAGCAAGATTTTCAGGAGGTTACTCTTTAAGTGAAATACTGGAAACATCCTAAAGTGGTTAAAACACTCTTGTGGTCCACAATGGTCTTCAGTGTCTGCTGTTTTCACAGACAGGTCATCACCGTATTATCATTAGGTGTCCTTTAATTAGGCTACTAATTATTTGGTTTTGGTGACGGGATGGCGAACAATGAGACATCTAGAGTCCCGACCACACACGACTCCTGGTTGACCCACCGACACAACAGAGAGTTTTCAGCCTCTCAGCTGTTCGTGGAAACTACTCATGACAAAGTCCGCTCTATTGTGCTAATGCCATCACCACAGCACTAATGGCAACATATCTTGTTTCGGAGATATCTTCATGTTGTATGGCTCTGGCTAAATTTTCCACTCTCTCCACAACATTTGTGGTACAAAGACACAGTGTATCTGGAAACAACAAAATATAAACCTCTAACTTAGAATAAGTGCTTATATACTTTTGTATTAACAAAGAATATTGTCTGTTCAGTTCTTGGCTAATTAAAGGCCCTGCACAGTCATCACAGGTGTTTATTATTCTGGTGGTTTATTCTGAAGTTGGACAAAGCCATGAAGGGAATTGACTGAGGTCACTTAAATCCATCTACTTAAAAGAATCATACAAATAGGTTTTGTCCTGCTTTAAAACAGGTGCAAACCTAACAAGGGATTCAGGAAGTACTGTCCATGTAGTCCCGAAGAAGAGGTCTAAGTAGACAAACTCATTTAGAACACCTAAGTGAATGTACTATGAGAGTGTACAGGACTTTAATGGCTTGTAGGAAAGTTGGCCAATAAATTTCGAGGTCAGGTTAAACAATGGCGAGAAGGAGGAAAGAGCTTAATATTGACATCAGACTTGGTTCCTCTCAAGGGTTTCACATGGCAAATTCAATAGACGACCTTTGGCATATTAATACAGAATGAAGTCACACAAAGATGCCCTGGTGCACCATGCCTCCGGTGAATGGGCATGGGGAACTCAACACCGTACTAATCAATTTTCACAACTTAAAATCTAGGCCAGTGGATTAAATTATGCATGCTAAAGGATTGTGGACAGCTTGATGGTGAGAAATACGATCCCAAAAAGATTATCATTTGGAAAGAGTGAGATCGGTTCATCGGGTTTGATGGAAGTGTTGTGACAGATTGTTCTCACACCAAGTTTAGTGTTTAATAATCAAAGTTGAACAAATCCCACATGAAAGATGCATGACGGTGGAAAAAAGGTCCATGGCAGGGGACTTCTGTCATATAAAAACCAGCATTTATGTGCATGTCAAGCCAATATAACAGTCATCAGGCTTAAAGCATGCAGTATTGTGAATCTACATAAATAAATATCACTTAGTCAGTGCCATCAATCTGGTCTATACTGTAACTGTACAACTCAAATAACTTAGCCATTAAAATAAGCTGAATAGAAATACATTATAGAGGTACCTCTTCTCACTGCAGCCAGTGACATCTGGACTGGAGCCTACCTGTAGTCTTTAAACTGTGTCACACTGTGGAAACTTCACTTACCAAAGAATGGTGGAAGGTATGACACAGCCTCCAGAAACGGTCTTGTTTCAACCTGCCTGTCAGCTGGCATCTGTCTGAACTGGTGCTCCATTAGCAGAGCCATCTCTTTAATCCGGACACACTCGTACCTCTGAAATGATAGCAACAGGCTCTCAACCCTTCACTGCGGGTGTACAGTGACACCAGAAGAAACTGTGTGCCATACCCCACCCGGAAAGCACTAACGCGCGCGCGCGCGCACACACACACACACACTCACTCACTCACACACACACACACACACACACACACACAGTCACCGACATTGAACACCAGTAGTGGCGTAATATCAAGCAGACGGCTCGTGTGATCGACTTGTTGTTGGTAGATCCGGGTCATCGGCACCTGTCGGGTAAAAGGACCGATAAACAGCGTTTAGACAGAAGTCCAGCACAAGCACAAGAACGGAACCTGATGTGCTCTAATCAGCTGACTGGTCTTCCTCTGCGTTTAATCACATGTGCTACTTTACTGCCAACTAATGGATTTCCGTGGAACATCTTTAAGTGTTCAATTACATTATTGGTAGCCTGATAATCTGACTTAATTTGCCATTTAGTTCCACTTCATTAATGTATATGTATTAATGAAATATTTATTATTTCATTAATTATTTCATTCTGACCAAGTGTAGTCGGTGATTCAAACGTCTGGAACCAGATTACAGCCTATTATTTACAATATGATATGTGTAATTATATTTAATTCTAACAACAATAATAGTAATACTAACTGGTTAATGTTGGTGATGTTGCCAGCGTTTTATTTGTGAATCAAATGGCCAAATACATCAACGGGCATTACTGCTTTATTTTCCCAGTAGACGACTAGCGTTACGTTTGTCTTTAAAATAAAACCGTTATAGTCTATTAAACAAAAGATCAAAAAGGAAAATAAAGTAGAATGTATATTGCTAGGCTTTTTTACAAATTAAAAAATGAGTAGGAATTTCGCGTTTTCATTTCAACGGTAGGCAATTTTGACCTTTACCTCGTTCCGTAGCATGGGAGTAACTAGGAAGTGTATGGGTAACTAATGAAAACTGAGGATTGACTCCATGGATCGAGTATTTGAATAACGGCGATTTGTCTGTGTCGTAATGCAAAACGTAGACTGCCTTTAACAAACATCGAGAGAAGCGATTGAGTTTACCACTGAAAGGTGAGTGAGTGTTATTTATCGAGCTGAAATGGTCCTGACGCGTTGCTGCTAGTGAGACGTGTAACGTTAGCGTTTTGTTTACCTTTATTGCCCTTAGCTAAATAATACACGATAAGGCCTATAACACACAACACTAGCAAAGACATAACTGCATACTTTTTGTTTTCTGTATGAATGAGCTTCGACTTAACGCACACCGGCGCTTTAAGGTGGTCCAGGTAACGCTAAAGCTAACTAACGTTAATACATCAATCAACGTAGGTTGAGGTGATTTCTTCTTATAACGTATGTTAATCATGATTCAGGTCACATGGCTCTGCCGACCTTCTCGGCCCACGTGCCCAGTCGGTCCCGGGTGCTGGCCGGACAGCTGGCCCGGCAGCGGGAGCAGGAGGCCCGGTTTCGAAAGCAGTGGGAGCTGCATGCTCAATACTTAAAGGAGCAGAGCGTCCGCAGCCAGAGACAGGCGGTGTGGAGCTCCCACCAGTCCCACCAGCAGAGGTAACTTCATGCACCAGTGGACTGGACGTATCCAGTTACCACATAAAGCTGTCTCTAATACTGTCATTGCAGACATCTCTGCAACAGGAGGAGGTCAAACAAAGCAATGCCGTTTAGGACAATTGCTTCAATTTGACTATGATTTGTGTTCCATGTTCATGTTTATGAAGGCCAAGGGGCTACAACAGCCCCTCACTAGATGGACCTGTAAGTAATCAACCTTTGAGTATAAGGTGTCTGTATTCACACGTTTAAAGAGAGACAGTGATCTACAAACGGCTCCCTGTGAATGTATACACATCTCAGGCTCACATTGGCTTGGAACAACAAATCAGGGTTAGATTCTCCTCTCAGGACCTGACTAATCTGATGTGTAAGTGTGGCCAGATAAAGGAAGGCTATAATGCTACTGTTATTATCAAATATGTGGTGAGAGATTAATCAGTTATTGAATCAACAAATGTCAAAATACAAAGTTTTAAACACAGTTCACATTATTTAAAAGCGGGTTTCCTTTAACATGTGTAAATAGTGACGGTTCCCCAATTCATTGATCCGTGGCTTGTAATAACGTAGAGAGAACATTCGTAAGTATTGACAAGTAATGACTGAATGTGCATCCATGACTACCAGCGTTAATAATCATTCCACTATGAAACATCATAGTAATACAGTGTTGATGATATTCACTGAGAGCAGTAGTGCGTAAGTCACTGCCTCTTTTTCAATGTTTAGTTATTGGATATACAGTATGTGCACAGTCTATGTATTGGGCTCAGTGACTAAATATCAGTGTGTCTACCCTTAAATCTATGTAACCTTACATAAACATGCTGTGCTGTACTGTGTTTGTGTAAATGTGTGTGAATAATGAAGGGCATAGATAAACCAGAAGTATTCTCTCTTCTAGCATGAAGAAACCCTGTTGGTTCCAAAATGACAGAAAATGAAGCCAGAACTAAAGTCTCTTTTCCTCCGTTCTGTCAGTATGTCGGCATTCAATAAACAGAGACTGAAGGACGAAAAGAAGGCCAGTCTGGAGCAGCGCAGGAGTCGGCTCAGGGCCATGCTTCAAGAGGAGCAAGACCGGCTGGAGGCGGAGCTGAGGGAAGTAGTTCCTGACAGGAGCTCATTGGCAAATCAGCTGGTGCAAAAGACTGAAGAGCTTCGTACAGCAAGAGAGGAAAGAAGGAAAAAGGTAGTTTTACTTAAATTAATTTAATGAGTTGTATATTTCCTTTTCAGGACTGATGATGGTGCTCTGCCACAAGTGTATAATCCTTGTTATTTCTCTTTTTTATCTCTAGCTTTCACAAGAGCTGCTGAGGGAGCACTGGAAGAAAAACAACACGGAGTTGCGAGAGGTAGCTAAGTTTAAACTATTAATGGGAAAGCAACAAGTTGCCAAACCTCTTACTTCAAAGTCTCACTGTTGATGAAGTGATAAATGGCCTCAGGAATCCTGTAACCATCCTGAGTTTCTGAAGAGCTCTGCAAGAGGAAAAAACAGACACTTTTTTGTCAAGACGTCCACTTGATCTGGAAACTTAATAGGGCTTGTGATACAGCTATTCCATGACTTTCTGTTAACCTGAGTCCAGTGTTGACCGAAGAGAATAACATGTTGTGGTGTCCCTTCTGCTAAGGGTCAAGTTCATCAGTAACTCTGTCCCATCTATGTCCTTTCTCGCTCTTTTAATCTGTCCACAGGTTGAGTCAGCATTACATAAAGATCATGTTGTCAGCCAATGGCAGGAGCAGATATCTGAGAAGGAACAGGTAAGACATCATCACAGCTACAAGACAAAATAGTTCATTTTCATTACAGTGTTTTGATAACTTTCTATAAATGACAAGTGTTTTTGAGTGTTGTGAGTGGCCGAAGGAATCTCCAACTCACAACAAGGGCCGACAGGTCAAAGCACTTATTATTCACAGACATTCTCATTCATGTCAACATGTTAGGATGGTCAGAGCGGCATTGCAAACAACTGTGACCAATGTAACAACACTGTACATTTCTATGGTCAATTTACAGTGCTGTGCATCATTTTCTATGACCATGGCAAACAGTTCAATGTCCTTTCTACTCTCATTCTATTCCTATGGTTATTACTCAATTTTACTCAGACCAAATGTGTAGAAATTGCTCTCCAGTACATTTAAGCAAGACCTCCCTCAAGTCAGTGATGACACATCGGACCCACAAGTCGTTAAACTTTGTCATTATCCTTTTAGGTGACTAATTATTTATGTAACACATTCATGCTTAATTAAACAGTGCCCATGTCATCTGTGAGCACAGTATCAAGTCTGAAATCTACTCACGTTAATCCTCTCAACATGGTACATAATTAAGAAAGTTAAGACACCTACTGTAAGTGACCTTCTCTCCCAACATGTAGCAAGAGGTGGCGGAGCAGGAGCAGAAGAAACGCTTTGAAAATGAGTATGAGAGGACCCGAAGAGAGGCTCTGGAGAGGATGAAGCAAGCTAAGGAGAAGAAGAACATAGAGGAGCTGAAGAGGGCAGAGGAACTTCGCAAACAGATGGAAGAACTGAAGCTGAGGGAAACAGAGGTATTTAGAACTTGGACAAAGTATTTCTTGTTGGAAAATGATCACAGATGAGTTGTTTTTTTAAAGCATTATTTCTCTTTCAGGCAACTCGCTTGAAGAGGGAGCAGGAAGCTCTGCTGGTCAAACAATGGGAGCTGGAGAAGATAGAGGAGGAAAGGAGAAAAGTGGCAGAAAGACGCAAGAAGTGTGAGATGGGGTAAGGGAAGCTCTTTATGTCGATAACTTATCTAAGTCAATATGATACTTCCTTCTCGGGAACCATTGGGTTTCATTGGATTTGTGTTGCACCAGGCATTTCTTGATCCGTCAATATCGTGCTCAGCTGAAGAGGAGAGCCCAGCAAGTGCAGGAGGAACTGGTTGGTCTACTTCACCCACTTTTGTCACAGTATATATTTCTACCTGCATTTAAACTCGACTGGCTTTCACACCTTCCTCGATTTCGTCTGTGGCCACTAGGAGGCCGACCGTAAGATCTTGGCAGGCTTGCTAGAAGGACAGCAGGAGGACAAGAGGATAGAGACTGAACGAAGGGAAAGGGCCATCGCTGATGCTGCCTGGATGAAGCGTGTGATTGAAGAGCAGCTTCAGGTGGAGGAGGAGAGGGAGGCTGAGTTTGACATCCTACACAGGTAAGCACCAAGATTCAGTAAGCTCTGACTCTGCAGGAAGGGACTCTCCCGCTTCTCCTCAAATACAAACCAATGCATCTCATCCCTTTCAGAGAAGAAGCTCAACATGTGTGGGAGAAACGAGAAGCACAGTGGGAGAAGGAGAGGAAAGCCAGAGAACGGCTCATGCAAGAGGTGAATTGTTTTAAAATCAAGATGAAACTCTATTTGAATGTAATTCAAAAGATATGACTACTTAATAACAGCTCTCTCTATCTTCTTCCACTTGGAAAGGTACTTGTGGGGAGACAGCAGCAGCTGGAGCTTAAGATGCAAAAGAACAGAGAGGCTCAGGAGGAGTCCCTGAGGAGACGAGAACAACTGATCCAGGAGCTGGAGCTGGAGAGGGAGACCAGATGCCAGGAGAAGGAGCAAGAAGAGGGACGCAGGACGGCACGGATGCAAGAGATAAATGCTCAGGTTGGCACATAGTGCAGTGGTTTGTGTTTTCATAGCACTTTTGGTCCAAACACAGCAAAGTTAATATTTTAGAAGAAACATGAACAGGCATTTCAACCCACAGCACAGGATCACATTATATGCTTTGTGTAAACCAGTGTTTCTGTACATCTGCTGTAGGTGGAGCAGCAGCACCAAGAGCAGTGGGAGGAGCAGTGCAGGATAGAGCAGGATGAGGACGACGACAGGGAGGCCCTTCAGATTCAGGAGGAGGAGCTGAGGCTGGAGATGCAGAGGATGGCCAAGAAAGGGTACCAGGAGAAGGTAAAAGATGAAGGTCAAGCTGAATGTCAACTTTCCAAGGTCCAAAATGCTCTTTAATGTTGAAATGTGCTTGAATTCCCCTTTCAGATTCACAGCAGACCTCGATCAGCATGGACATGAGCAACCTGCCTCAAGTCAAAACAGAATTGTGAGATGTATATTTTTCTACCTGTAAATCAGCTTCAGCAGTTTTGCGATTTTTCCAAGTGTGTCTTAAAACAAAGCTCACATGCCTATATGTAGATCGTAACAGTTGGTGCTCACTGTGATTGTTCCTCCTGTCCATGAAGAGATCCCTTCCTACTCAAAGTATCTGATGGACATAATCCAGTCATTCAATGAAAACATGCATTTCAACTTTCATCAAATCCAGTTGGGATTTTTTCCTTCATTGGTGTTTTCCTGCTGAGCCACAGTGAAGAGACAACACAAGGACTGTGAATTCAGTCTCGCATCTCTTCCATACACACAAAAATGTGAATTTATTTATTCCCTTTTAAAGAATGACGTAGGTTATGAGGTCATACTGTGCCAACCTTATGTTAATAATGTCATGCTGGTTGTTTTCATATGTAGAAAAGAAGTAATGATTTGTTTTGCACTTTTTTTTTTTTAAGAGCTGTATATTTTCCACCCTGTATTTATAGATTCAATTAAATAATTTCAATCAAATAATTTCAGTTTTTTGTATTACGGCAATGCAAAGTTAAACCGGATGAATTAAACTTCTGGCAAATCACAACAGGCTGTATTTATAAATTAAGTTTATTTAGAAAATAATTACTTTTCCGAAGTGCAACTTAACAGCTGCATCGCATACATCCCTGCACTCCGGTCAGGTACACAGCGTGACATTATCTTGATCAGTTTTCAAAATGACGATAAACTCTGAAACACTCGGTGAGGATGAACGTTGGGTTGCACAATTACACGGGAGACGTCAAGACTTCTATCCCAGATGTTGCACATTAAATACAAAAGTAGCAGCAACGGAACAGAGCACAAAAAACAAGGACATACATACAGTATGGCTATTAGCTCGAAATATCTTTTAACATCACCAACACTGCAATGGCACACAAGACCGCAGAATACAGTGCAGTGTGAAGAAACACACCAGACCATTTAAACTTAACACTACAACATATTGGTGCTGATGAAGAACACAACTTGGCCCCTGAACAAGTGTTATTTGCATTCACTGAATTGACAAATGGGCACACATAACGAGGCACAATGTCTAGATGCATGTCTGATGTCACTTGGACAGAGGACAAACCATGTAAATAGCTTTTTTGATGCAACAAACATTTGCATTGCAGACATATAATGGTCAATTTGTTTTTGGAAATTGAGCTTTACAGTTTGATGATGCTTGCACAGTGCTGTTGATGAGGAAGCTCCTTTAGCCACAAGAATGTTAGCAATAGCATTCAATGACAGCAGATTCATGACTCATTTATGGCTTTGAACTGATAACATTAACCGATATCATGTGGATTTACTGTGAATAATTCCTTCTCTTAATAGGTATTTACATTATGGACTGACTAAAGATTATTTGAAACTAAGAGCAAGTTAACTCAAATTATAATCTATAAACCATTACAGTCCACAGGCCGGCTGCTTGATTTAACATGTGTGGAAGTTATTATTTTATCTTAAGAGAAATTGTGCTATTACAACAACTAACAACTTTCCTTTTACACTCAGATTTTGTCCAGGCTTGGCTTTAAATATTTATTCATAAATTAAAAAAAACAATGCATGCATATACCACTAATACAAAAGAATCATTAAAAAATATATTCAAGAACAAAACTGAGATGCTGACTGCTTTGCAGCTCTGTAAGTGCTGCTAGTTTGTATTCTCCTTTGTGGTGATGGTGACAAGCTGCTTGGCTGCCTTGGCAATGTCGTAAGCACATTGGATGACCTGCTGGGTGACCAGCTGCATGTCCGGTGCTGGGCAGCCCTCGGAAGGCAACGCCTTCCTGCACTCACTCTGAAGCCGGAACGCACTTGAGGTCAACAAGCGCAGAGAGCCTCTCGCAGTCTCTGAGCGTGGCCTCTGCAGAGGAAGGTTACAATATCTTAATACTAATGGACATTTGTCCAAAAGTCAACAGATTTGTACAAAGAGATGCGATATAAAGAGGACCCCTGAGAAGCAAATTGACTTCTGCTGGCTTGAAGCTGGACAGAACCTACTTTGGGTTGTCTGCCATGCGGTCTTTACTTTTAAACATATACAATATACAATACATATAGAATTCGGTGCAATTCATTGCTATTTGATTAAAGAACCAAGTAAAACAATACATACTATTTGCTTGCGATACCTTCATAATAACAAATATAAAAACTAAATGGCTGATTGATCTGTTCTCTCAAAGTAAAAAATATCTACTAACTTGTTTCCATACCTTGGGAAAGAGGGCCGCCATTTCTATTACAGCCACATGGATTCTTTCTGAGCAGGGTATGAAGCTGTGAGGAGGAGAAGACATTTGTTGAGTTATTATTATTGAACATGGATAACATATCAATTGACCAAAAGCTTTTACATGCAAGTCAGTGTACTATATAGTATTCTCATCACACCGTGCGTTATCATCTTCAACAGAACATGCTACTTGTTGCGCACATTTTTAGCATTGTAAGTAAGTAGAAGGCAGTTTCACTCCATATCACATTTTTGTATTAAAAATTACGGCTGAACAGTAGAAACAACCTGAAAAATGTGTTACATAACCTTCAGTATATATCAAAAGCAAGTCACTGTAGAGCTGCAACTTAACTTTGCATGAATTAACTGAAGCAACTGAAGCATTCAAGGTGAACACATTGAAGGAAAGGCGACAGCTTGTTAGCAGGTGAGGCAGAAACCGTGTAAGGGAGAGGAACATAAAACTGTGCCTGGGAGGCAGGGACAGAGGCCAGAGTACCAGGAGGTGGGGTCAGGGGACCGCAGGCTGAGCGGCTGAAGGGGAGGGGGGGCCTTCTCGACCCAGGGCACCAGAGTGCTGAAACATCCCAGGCTGTGCCTGAGCCGGCGTACGCCTTCACGCTCACATGGTCTGCTCGCAGGGGTGAGGGGCGGCACCAAACACAGCGACACCAAAACAACAGCATAACAGCGAAGCAGATTGGAAGTAGAATGAAGGAGGAAAAGTGAAGACAACAAACAAAAAGGGGAAATGATAGAAGATAAACACAACTAAACATAGCAGAATAATGATGACTGTATGAGGAACTTAGGGTTTAAAATGGAAACAAGGAAATGAAAGCTACAGAGCAGATCCTAAGCTGATAGAGATCCCTTTCTCTTCTGATTCTGACCTGTCGTGTTTGTTCTCCTGAGCAGCTCGCAACAGCTCTTGGATGTTCTTGGTGATCTGCTCCGTTTTGCGGATGACGTCCTCTGTGCTGGGAAGCGTGGGGTCTGCCTCCATCTCCAGATCATCCAGCTCTGGGATAGAGCTGCCCTCCCCGAACCAGCCACTGCTCCTCAGCCTCCCTCTCCTGCACATACTGCAGAGGAAGATTCAGAAAAAAATATCCCTTGTTGATTTTACCCTAAAACAGCACATTTTACTTGAAAAGCCCCTTTGATCATTTTTAGGAGCCAGAACACTGTCCTATTGTCTTTCACCATCATTTTGGGGGATGCTCTTACCCCGAATCATCCATCTCAGAGTCATTGAATGTGTTGTCATAGTCACTCTCCGGCATGCTGCTTTGCTTCTCTAACTTCGAGGCCTAGAGGGAAGAGAGGGGACAAAACATGATAATGTACCTCACGCTCGCAAGACGTCCCATGTCACTGCCGATACAACCCGGAAACAGTTCTGGTGAAATCACAATTTCAATGCTGGTCCACAAAGAACAAAGACATATATTGGAACGGTACTTCTTGCTGTTCGTTGTATGTCAAATTGGAATATAAACATGTAAAAGCGATGCAGATGACTGACTGAAACAAGCCAATACAGCTGTGAAGCAAGAGCACATAATCAATACGAAGCATTCAACACAGGATTAGTAAAACTCATTGCGCAGAGTTCATTTAGTTTACTCACATCGGTATGACATAATCACTAATGCTGACTTGCATGAAATTGACCTGATGCTCGTCAGCCTTCAGTGACTATGATCATCAAATGTGCATGAGGGTGACAATTAACAAAACAGTCAAACTAAAGCCAGTTCAGCAACATGTTGCTGGAAACATTACACCAGAGGCATGACACACAAGCTTTACTCATCCTCCAAACTGAAGAGAAGACGACCCCATGCAGAGGGTCATTGTTTTACAGCGGGAAGTCGAGGTTCAGATGAGTTCATGAATGAAACTGAATCCCTCACAATAGGAATGCCTCATCTTCACACCAGACAGGCTTCACAGTCATCCGAGATGTTCACTGGAACTAAGCTTCATGCAGGTTCACTTTCAGACTCAAAGCTAAGCTTATAAACAGGCCGCATTGACAAGTACACTCAAGCCGCACAGGACCTTCTGTACGCGTCTTACAGTCCATGTCCAAGAATCTCAACGTACACAGAACAAAGTGAAACGCAGCAAACATAAGCTCGCCTCAGGAAATGCAATTAGCACATACGTGTTCAGATGAATCTTTTTAGATCGTTAAACAACACGGTGTTCCAGGAGTTGAGTGTTACTGGAAGAAGTGAGCGCATGCTGTTGGAGGCTCACAGTGCGAAACAGCCAAGCAATTGTTAAAGACGGTTAAAACACGACTTCTCTTTATACCGTTAGAATGTTTGAAATCAAAAACACAAGTTCAACAACTCAAGAGGTCTACAATTGAAATCGAACAATCTAATTTACTCAGTTTGTTTCCTTTATTTTTTTTTACAGACAAGAGGTTGTTTTGTAAAAATGAAACAAACACGACCATCAAACTTTGTACAAAGACACTTTGTTCAACATCATCTGCTGCACAGGTTTGTGGAGCAAAGAAAGCAAGCGTTCAAATTAGCAGGTGCTGCATCACAAGCGCAACTTCCTGCTCAAGGTTCAGCGGTCGGACGGAGGTTTTGCCTTCACAAAACCAAACAACTCCAGTCGTTTAACAGCGCTGTGAGGATGATGCTGATGGAGGCAGGTATCTGATGGTGAGGGCAGCTGGTGGAGGGGGCGGCTCATGCAGCAGGGCTGATAAGGAGCAGTGTATGGAGGACAGATGGAGGTGAGGGAGGAGGAAGAGATTCAAATGGCTCCAAGTGGATTTGCTGTGTCCCACAAAGCATGGACCGAGTGAGGATGTACTTAACCTTTTGAGCGCTTTCGTCCTTCGACCAAGACATGGTGGATGGAAATGAGGGGAGGGATGAAGAGGTGGTCACAAAAGCGCCCCTTTCCGTCTAAAGACAGGGTTCAAATCACATTTTAAGGACACAAATTTCTTAAACTAAAATGAAACAAACTAAAAAGTGAGATGAATGAGATTAGATCACGTTATGTCCCAATAGTCTCTTCAAGCCAGTTGCGTCTTAACTGTAAATTGTATATTGAGAATGGACTTAGTGGAAAACTATATCTGTGCAATGAACATGACCATTACATTAAGGATTAAAAAATGATATTATTTTGGAGGGGTGATTTTAAGATAAATCAATGCTATGTAGTTGGTTGTTTTTACAGATTATCCTCCTTATTTTTTTACACTAAACTCATAATTATTTCCTTTCTGAACACTTTCTGTGTGCTGGAAGTAATAGGACTGAAGAGCCCGGGAGTTAATCCATCAACAGAAAAGTACCAGAAAATGATGATTCACAGGATCAAATTTAACTGTGTAAATATCGTATTTGAATCAAAGAGAGAATCCAAACAGATGAGAAGATAAAGTGAGTTTGTGAAAGTATCATGCATTACAAAAACACAGAGTATTTGTATGGTAGTTTTAATGCTTCATCAACATAAAACACAGTACAAACCTTCAACGTTTATCAAAATAACAGCATCTCCTTGCGGTTACAGCTAAGTTCTGTCTGACAAACAAGCAGCACTCCAGTAAACAGCAGATATATGCAGATAAAATGGATCTGGACCAGATGAGATGTGACTGGCTGTGTCTAAATGCACGACATTGTGGTTTTGATGACTCCCGTCTTTGAAGCTGCAAAAAACTACCCGGTGGCAAATGAGTAGGGAGAACCATTAAAAAGAAAAGGCAGAGAGAAAGGTTTGCAGACAGGGTGAAGACATGAGGGGAAACAGGGCGGTGGAGAGGGAATGGCACAGGAGAGCAGGGAACAGGTCTTACTTACATGAGGCGGGAAGGGTTGCAGGGTGGGGATACCCTCCTCTGGGTAGGGAGTTTCCCCTTTAGGGAGATAGGGCTTCAGGCCTGAGCCGGTCTCATACATAGACATGGGCCGACTGGCCCGCGCAGACTGCCGGTGTTTCAGGGCTGAGGGGCTGGAGGGGTCGGGGTAGTCTGACCCGCTGGGGATCTGATAGATATTGGTGGGGGCGTGTCGTCTGAGAGAGGAGTTCTCGCTTTGCAGAGAGCGCAGCTGGAAGAGACGGTCAGCAATACACTAAGAGGTGCTCTCAGCAAAGCAAGCCGTATTCCCTGCTCTGGTCTACTCTATCTTTATAGCACAACATTTCAGCTGCTATCCCATTGTTCCTAAAAGATTCTTATTATACTGCGTCTACTATCGTCAGCACTCTTAGTCGTTTAATTCTGCCAAAGCTTTCATTTGGCAGGAATAAAACACATCTTTGTTTTACTATTAAACTTGAGAATCTAACCTTAGAACTTTGTTATTACTATGATATAGAAAGTCAATATTTGGATAATGCTCTTACAAAAATATATGATACGTCAAAACCTGAAGCTGCTTCGATGATAATGACTTAAAGAAGAACTTGTGTATGTGTATGCCATCAACCTCCTAAAAATCATAGGAATGACATGATTTTTGATTTGAGATGTACTTTCTAAAGATGACAAAAAAAAAAAAAAAAAAAAGCAAAGCAAGTGATAAGCAAGCAAAAGATTGTTGCATAGGTGAGCAACACAGGTGCAGTTCAAGTCAAAGATGTAGCCACAGTGCAGATGGATTAACTCAAGAATCATGAGAGGATACGATCTGGTGTCCTGGTCAGTAGAGTGAGTGGTTTGTATTCTGTTATAATGGCTGACTAGGTTTGGTAAAGGCTGCCATTCCAATTACAGTTTAAAAGATATACAATATGTCATGACAAGCAACATTGTCCTGTTTTCTCCACCACATCTTCATCCGACTGTGGTCATTTAAGTGAATCTGTTCAGCTATAAGCTAACACGCAGCCAGATCACATCGTCAGAAACAACACAGTACGCTACAGTGCTGTTTGTCTACTGCAGTGTCGCAAAGACCTTCGGTGTGCAACCAAGAGAGACATATTATCGGCATATGCTCCTTCACAACAGCCAGCTTAAAATAAGAACATTAACCTCACTGACAGGGGTTCAAATTAACACAATGAAAAGCCATAACATGCTTAAACATCTGGAAATGATCATTCTCAAAATAGTTTGGGTTTCAGCAGGATATAGATTGCTAGGTTGAAGCACATTGCATACATTTGTGCAGAATCTCAAACGTAACATTGTCATGTCTATCAATCAGCAGTTTGGTGCAGCAGAGTAACAATATTTCAGGTTTGCATCAGCAGTCATCAGTATGCCGTCTATGACATTTCTATGAAATGTGAGCACAACACATCAAACAATAGATTTACATGTACTAAAAAGGTTGTTACCAAAAACAACAGCTGGAAATCATCCAAAAACATTCTACAGAGAAAACACAGTATATGTGATGAAGCAAGGCACACACATACAAACGTAGTTAGTTACTATGAAGGTATTAAAAACCACTGTCAATTAAGTCATGCTTCTTCTTAAAACATGCTTGTTAGTAACATTAGACTGTACAGATTTATTACAAAAAGGAGGGCTAATGGTAAACGGTTATTAACTAGAGCAAAGGTGCATTTCTTCTTCTCAAATCCAGAAACAAAAAGAAAAAACAAAACAAAGAAAATCTCCAGTTTACATTCAAGCTCTGAAATCGAACATGCTGGCCAAAACAGAGGGTGGACCAGCAGGGCGTCACAGCAGCCTTATCTTGCAACACAGAATTCCTATTCAGATAGCTCGGCTCCCATACCCGAGAGCTGGAGAAGAGCTCTGCTGACCACTGTGGCCCCCCCTCAGTCCGGCCCCCTGGTGTTAGTGATCTTATTGGTGGAGCACGGTGGATACCTTTTTCTGCATCAGCCTCAGCTCATCACTCAGGTTGTTGTTGGCTTTCATAAGGTGCTGGATCTTGGCTTCAGAGGCGGAGAGCGCGGTTTTCACCTCCATGTATTCATGCATAGTAATGGCTCCATCGGAGAGGTCAGAGTCCAGGCTCTGTTGGGATAGAGGGGTTGAAAACAAAGCGGTAAAGGCACCTGCAGTGAGAGAGAGAGTGAGTCTTTCAGGGTTCAGATTTGAGTGATGCCACGATACCTTTGTCCTGTCTCCGTGGCTTGAGGGGAGCTCGTGATCCGTGTCCTCATCAGACGCCACACTATCGTAGTCAGGCTGGTCATTTTCCTGGCTGTCACTGCAATGCCTGACAGCCACACTCTTCAGGATAAATTCAACATTGTCTGGAATGAAGGGACACCGAGTGGAATCGTTGGTTTGAATCTGTGCTACACTTCAGTGTCAGTAAGATCTTGGAGTGACGTAACAATAAGATGCTGACCTTTGGGACTGGCTATCGAATTCCCTTGTTGTCTGCGCTTAGCATCACTTAATATGTCAATCACAAGAGTTGCAAACTCGTGCGCATTGAATCTTGCCAGCTTCTGTCTTCCCTAAATAAGAAAAACAAAGTCGCATCAGCGATACACAATCTACCTTCAAATGAAATGTGTGCGGTGGGAAACAATACAACATGTGCAGGGGAGCTGTAAAGCGGACTCGCCTGGTTTCGTGTTGATGAATACTCTGGATTCACAGGAAGGAAAGGCACCACAGTCGTCTCTGTCACCAGAGTGCTGTGATTCTGTGTAGCCAACCACACTACACAGAAGAGGATAAGAATGAGGCTGACTAGAGGTGGGAGTACAGCTGAGGGTATCAAGTATCAGTGGGCCTCATTCACCAACCGTTCTTAAAAAGGTATAAGATGTAACAATTTCCTAAAACAAAATATATAGACTGATCCACAAAAATATCCCTCTCAAACATAACTTGTGACCCACTAGAAGTGTGTGATGGTGTCTCTATCAGCAGAGACCATTCCCTCTGACTGTATTTTCTTATTTATTATTATTTTGCTGTTCAGGACATTTCTGGGCGTCAGCAAAGAGCATTTGGACCCCACATGAACATGTAACCCACAGCCAACCAGCAGCCTGTGCATTCCCTGGTCCAACAACGCTGCTTTGTCACACCCTAAAATTCTCCTTAAATTTCACAATTTTTTTTTCTTGGGATTTGTTCTCAAACAAGAACAGAATCTACGCATCATCAAGAGCACACTCAAAACAATTAGTTATTGCATTTTCTCCAATTCTGCAGTTGTATAATATAGGATTCAAATTACAATAAACTATTTTATATTTGTTTTCAATAATAGTTATTATTTACAAAGCATTATTGTATATAAAAATAGATAAACACTACACATTCCTCCGGAAGACTCCGGTGACAGGAAGTGAGTGCACAGGCAGGCGGGCAGTTACAATTGTAATCATTACAATTGTCTTATTACAGTCCTGCGACAGACACAGATAACAGATTATACTTTACCTGCATCAGTCTCTCGTCTGTCCACCTCATCGTACACATCCATGGCCAGCTCCTCAAATAGATGATTACTGAGCTGCATGAAAATAAGTGAATGACACTTAGTTAGACTTCAGTAAGGAGAGAAAAGAAACCTCAGTGAAACTCTGCAAAAAACACTTACAGACTGCAGTTTCTTCTTTGCTGCCTTGGCCAGTTCTGATAAATCTAAACTGCTACAAACAGAGCATAACTTTCATAAACACATGCTGGTGAACTGTTAGGTCAACATAACTCACTCCTCCTGAGTAATACTTACATGTTCCTTATCCATCAAAAGAGAGCAATAAAAAGAGATCAAATGTGTCATTTCAATTGTAAAAAAAGGCACACTAGTTGTTTTACAGTGGATGTTCTGCTTATTTAAACGTTAATACGAATAATAACATTATTTGGGACCGACAGCTACTTCACTGGGTCGGTTTCCTTAAACACTGATAGTAGATGCTGCAGCCTTCTCAACTGCGTGTCAGAACAGGCCTCAGAGCAAAAACACAACCATAAACAACTGCCACAGCTGCTCACTTTGTTGGCTGGAATCACGTTAACTTAGACACACGTTAATTAACAGACAAATATCTTAATATTAACATGCATCATGTCGACTTACTGCTGGCCTTTTCTTACCTGTCGGCCATTTGTGGAACAATGAAGTGCTGGCTGTTTTTATGATCTGAAAGGAACAACAAGTATGTTCTGGATGACTGCCAACGACGTCATCGATACTTATGGGAAACTAACGTTTTATATTTAGCATGATTTAAACATAGTATATAATCAGTATTCACTAAGTGAATCAAAAACAATGAGCGCTTGTTTTTATCTGCTGGGAGTACCACATGGGTGAGATTCATCCTCACGCATCATATATTCTGTCAATCACAGAAAAGTGTCCGAGCTGAAACATTCACTCATCGTAGTGCCAAGTCAAAAATGTCTTTCACTCCAACCAAACATGCACATGTTCTTTGACCCTCATCTTTTTAGTCATTTCAATAACAGATCTCTCCCTCAATGCATACCTGGCTTTCTCCCACACAGGTAGAACGCCAGTCGATCAGTTAGTTCGTACTGAATTTCCACCAATCTATCTGCCAAGTCAAGGTGGCCAGCTTCCCTACAAAGGCACATGTTTAAAGAATCATTACATAATACGTCAAAACGTGAAATTACAGACCCATAATATCTTGTGTTTGAATTATAAAGGACCCTCCTTGTGAAAGGGTTTTTTTCCTGGTTAACGTTAAACAAATAGATACAAAATAAAAGTGTTTCAAATAATTTAAAATAGCTGACCTTGCATAGTCAATGGGAGTTTTGCCGTTGCTGTCGGGGGCTCCAGGATCCGCTCCATAAACAGTTAGCAGTTCAGCCTGAGACACTTGTCCTGCCTTTGCAGCTACATGCAAGGGAGTGTTTCCTTTTTCCTAGAGGCACAGGACAAACCATTATGATCTCAAATCAACAGAAGAGTAAATGCAAAGATGAAAACGCTGGTTTAAATAAAGCAGACGAATCTTACTGGGTGAAAAAAATTTGCTTGTGCTCCCAGAGATAGCAACCGCAAACAAGTCTCGAGATTCCCGGTGCGTACACTTGAATGAAGTTGCTGGAAAAAAAAAAAACAGCCAATTCCAATGAATTGATAAAAGCTTAAGAATAAAGCTTTGTACAAAAACGTGTTTCAGTTTCCTCTCCATCACATTCTCCTCACCTTGCTTAAATCCTTGGCTGTCGAGCTGTCGTCCTCCCGGCAAGGCATGCGATGGACAAACGCCAGCATTTGATATTTGGCTTTAATAAACTCTGATTTGTTTGGACTTTTGGGACACCACGGAACATAAAGGTTCAAACAGAAAATAGGAAGCAACTAATGAGTCAGTGGCACATACTAAACTTGGAAGTTCAACAAGTCCTCTTTGCGTTTCTTAAATCAACACCTGTGTTAAACATTTTTAAAGAATGCTGACTCACTGAAGTTTGTCCTGAGGGTTGGCCTTGCGTTTTCCACTCATCACAGCTGCAGGGTCCAGAAGAGAGTGCTCCCATATTGAATTTGCACCATTGCTGTATAATGTCTGAACCATCTAGGATGAAATGTAAAAGAAACCTGTGAAATGTGTCCCATTGATGTGAAACTTCAGAATGCTGACTGGTGTTAAACAGTTCCCTTCTTGAACAAACACTTTCTATATTTGGACAAAATCAATACAACTGTTGTCAACCGATTTATCTCGAGCAAAGACCGAGGCCTCAAAACTGCAGTATAGTGATTGTGTGCAAGGGTAACGTGATCTCAAGACATTTTTGGGATAGACAATTCAGCCTTAAACACATAGAATATTTTCTAAAAAGACAACTTGACGGCTGAAAGCATTAAGAAAAGTAGCTTCACGCAGGCGAATACTAACACAGATGTTTTCCTCTTGGGATTCTTACCTGTAGCTGCGTAGCAGGCCATGGTGTGTGCGTCAGGTGACGGACTTGGGAGCTGTGTCGACCCAGACTTCGATGAACACTGCAGCACTCGTCGCAAATCAACACACCCCTGTTGACGGAGGCCCAGCGAGGTTCTGAGAGGGAAGAGACAACCACAGAGTTAAAATCATGACACTTGCAGTTATCCAATTGATGAATCATAACTGATTAAGGATGTCATTTCAGGTGTAGCTAATTGTAGAATATTGTATCACCCGGCTCTCGTTGGTTGGATTTGCTCTAGCTGTGTTTTTAGGTGGTCTAAGATGAGTTAGAAATGTATCACGTCATGTCCTCCTCTCTTCACGTTCAGGACCATTATTCAAAGAAACGGCATGCTAGGTCGTAGCACCCCACTTCTCCTTTTTAAGTTCCTCACTGACTGCACTGGAATAAACTCTTACTTATGGTGTCAGAACTCTAACAAACAGGTGCTTAAAGGATAATAGCGGCGTTCTACTTTTGTCAACAAATCCCAGAAAAAGAATAAAACCCACACTTAATATTAAAAAGCATTGTGTGGCTGATTGTGATACAGTTTATTGTTCTGTGCCATAGACCTCCACACGTCAGTGAGCCACACCGATGTACTAGGTGTACCATGATTAGATGAACTTGGGTATTGTAGTCCATCCCACATAAACTGTCTTGCTGCCAGAAATACTCAGAAGAGAATCAAATGTGTATTAATCCTTTGGCTTAAAATAGTCCCCAACCAATAGCTTATTTACATCTGCTTATATAACATTTGCTGAAAACTAGTGTCCAGCTGCTCAGGAAATTACTTTTTAATAATGAAACTTCATATTTTGACCCTTTTTTGTAAATTTCCATCTTCTTTAAGATTAAATGTGGAAGGAGAAGCAGAAAGTTCTGAGAACTGAAACTTGTTGGTTTTGGTCTTTTTTTAATGAGTGTTTTTATTTTGTGCCAATCTCAAACAACTGGAAGTATTATTTCTATGTAACATGAACAGTTAACACAACAACATAGGGCACAAATATAGTAAACATGCAGCCACAATTACACTCTAACTAGAAGGAAGAAATAAAAGCTTTTCGACCCCAGATTTAGGTGAAGCATGCATTGTGTAACAAGGAAGTGAGGACGAGAGGACTAGCAGTTCTAGGCTGAAGCACCTCAACCTTAATGTTGAGTAATAGAGCAACTTCCTCATTCAAAAACATTGCAAAAAACCAACAGAGAATGCTTTCAATAATGTTGGTGCTGCATATTCAGGAAACGCATAGAGTATAAGTGCACTCTTCCTCTGTGACACAAAAGAAATGTTGACTTAACCTCGACCTATTTAGCAGACTTTATCTAATACCAATGTCACAGAGTTGTGCCGTCTGCTGTTTACGCAGACACGCTTCAGACAGTGAACATCTCAAGACCAAAAATACTGTAAATCATACGACACTCCCGATAGCCGAGAAACTGTTAAGCAGATTGGGTGGCTTGCACCGTGACAGGACAGCGAAGACTGTAAGTGCCTCAGCAGCAGCTGAGGCGTAAGAGGAACAGCTGCAGGGGTTGCTGGTCAAATTCTGCTCCCCAGTGTTTAGAGTCTCCTCCTTTCTCTCCACCAAGACCTGAGAGTTGGTGCTGACATGCTTCTTTTACCCTTTCCTCAACAAGTGTTGCTAAATTTAATACCACATCTTGAAACTCTAAAAATATTCAAAGCCAACAACTGGTAACAGTCGTATGGAAGGGCAACCCAGGCCAGCTGCTGAGGAGACCTGAGGGCTTTGACTAGTCTCAACGTGATGAGACGAGGTACTGAAACTTGAGTATTACTGAATATTTAGCATTCTTGTTGATGTTTCTCTTAATTTCTATTGTGAAATAGGAGAAAAAGACAGCGTAACTTTTTTTATATCGGTTGCCCATTTCTTAAAACAATTCATGTTCTCCTCTTACAGTGCATCACATGTACTGTATATTGTGGTGCCACAATAGAAAAAAACAAATATCTTCTGCACTGAAAGCCTGCAGTCAGCATCCTGTTTTGCTTCCTGTGTCTGCAGAAAAACATCACGTCATTTCTATACAAATAGGACTCCTGAAAGTACCTTACACACAATACAACTAGTCTAAAACTTGTTCGGCTTTCACGGAAACATTTGATTGTAAAACTGTAAACTAATTTCTCTCTCATCCCCAATACTATTTACCATTAACATTATCAAACTAAGAAATATGTTAAAACAGGCTGGTATTACCCTCCAATCACTAGCCTTCAAATAGCAGAGTGCAGTGACCTGACAAACATTTTTCACTATTTATAATGTAAAATTTGAATGTTTTGCAATATACTTTTTTGCCCCCCACCCCAAGACATTTCTTCAAAGTTCAGTGGTGAAAAAACACAAACCATTAAGAGTCCTTTCATTCAGTCATTCCTCTTCAACACAAGTGCTTACATTCAGTCACACATTGTCAATATGGGATAGGCTCCTCTTTTACTAGCAATACCTCGATGTGCTGCACAAAAAGCACACCACTACCCACTAACTTTATATGAACGATGCAGTCCTAGTGAGAGCTTACAGGGCAGATTCATGCTGATCTAGGATGAGATTTCAGAATGGATGCATGATTATATTTAAAGCAAGTAACACCGGGTGGAAACGGTTAAAAACGACAGCTGCTTCAGGTCTAATTGCATCCTCAACCAGGGAGCTATACCGTTAGTGGCCAGTCAACACCACTAACAACTTGCCCTGCCAAAACAAAAGTAATCTAACTCACTGTAAAGAAGAGAGCAGCATGGGCCAGCACTGATAATCTGATTTAAATTGCAAGCATTTGGCTTACCGTTACTTAATGGACCAGACGGCAGTGAATAACTAACGGATAACGACTATAAACTGCATGGATATTGTGAATTTGCTCACCTGGAACATTGCAATCAGCGCAGAGCTCAGTGTTTCGCAGGCGTTTAGACATCCTTTATTCAGGAAGAAGTGCCTTTTAACACGAGCAGAGAACTATGTCCGTTTCGTTAGGCTAACCATTGATTACTGTGGGGACGCCTTCCGCGTTAGCTAGACCTGGCTAATTAAAAACAACCTCAATAACGACCTGCTTCTTCATTTAACTGTTGCTAGCCTTTTCGTTTTGGCTTTGCGTTACAACCATTATAACGTTACCCCACAATAGAAAGGTGCAGTGTTGCTTGTCTGCACGTTAGCTGACTTAGCACCTCATTAGCTAACTAGCCCTGTGCCCGTTTGTCAGTGTACTCTTCAGTCTCTGGTAGACATCAGAGCTACAGCAGTCCCAGTGGCAGCTGTGACCTATCGGATTGCGTGTACTGTGCCCAGAGGAGGGCCTTTCAGGAAATAAACTTCTCCCAGCTCCACTGATATACACGCCTCCTTGTCTCTTTCGCTTGAATGAGCAAATTCCAATCGCATTCCTGATTTTTACAGACACAATTAGAATACAATTCAAAGGCAAACGCGTAGTTTGTTTGGTTGAGTTTGCTGTGAGTCTGCGCGGACCACAACCTGATAGACGTTACTGAGGGCTTTGTCACTAAATTAACTAGGTGAGTTTGATCCATGCACCTTCCTGACACGGTACAAATGTTTTAACACTAATAATGGGCAGACGACAACTGGATGTCCATCCACCAGCGGTCATTTATTAAAACACCATTCGCTCATCAATATTACTACAGTTCGTGTACTTAAAATTACGAGGAAACAATAAATCAACCGTATTACACAACTTCGCTCAGCCTCGAGGCAGAGTGAATCCACGGACCTACAGTGCATGGTTATAAACTATGTATCCGTAGAACAGCAACAGGCACTGGGTAAGTATACATTAATAGAGCAAACTGCAACTGGTCATATTATATAACCTGTTATTAATATAGTCCAACTGGAACTACTAAGTGTCGTAATGTAGCTACCACACCGCGGTACTCTGGCGGTAAAGTCTCAGAAGTTCAACCTCTCAAGTCCCTCCCCGAAACGTAAAAGCGGCGATCTCATTTCAACATTATAAGCCACAGCCAATGTATTGTCTTGATACAACATTTACAATTATTGTTTTGTTTGTAAGAAATATTGCGTTATAATTTATTTATGTAAGGTATTGAATGTATAAAAGTGGGACACGGAATCATGCTTATACAGGAATTATACTTTTGGTTGGATGTTTGAAAACCCCCATGCGGGCACGTTGAATGGTTCCGTCCAACTGGAACTGACGATTCCCTTTTTTTCTAAAGGCGATGGTTTTATTTACAAATCATGTTTCTGTCGTGTATTTATTTTGCACGGACTTAATTGTTATTACACATAAATTGAGTTCCGTTTGAAGGGCACGGTAGGCGATCTTAATTAGATTGTATTAAGTAGATTGTCGTCTATCTCTATATAGGACACCCCTGTCACTACTGGGTTGTTTCTGGTCCTACTTCCTCGTTCAAAAGTTTTATTTTGACGAACTCTTGGTGAAAAGTTGGACACTGGTTTCGATATCTCGACGTTGTTATTGTCAAATATTAAGGGCGTAGGTCATATGTATGGTACAGTTTTAAGTAGCGTGTAGCTAGCTATCTCAGTTTGACCCATGGCTGTGATTGTTAGGCTAACGTTGCACTGAGCGGATCCGTAAAGAAGAAGATGTCCACGGCTAATGTTAGCGAAGACATCCGAGGGAAGTTCCCCCTCCATTCCGCAGTGTGGGGGAATGACTACCGGACGCTGGAAGAACAAGTAACGTTACCACAGGTTGGTAAAAGACTGAGTGTGCTTCAAACATTTGCACCGATGCTTGCTATCTAATTGAAGCCAGGAGTGAGCTGTTAAATCATCCAGTAAAAGTAGGCCAGTCGTGTTGACAGATGTTCCTCTGTGTGTACCAGTACCACACACAGACAATGTCTGAAATGTCTTCGAGGACATAGCTACTCACCGATCAACAGGTTTGGAAGTTTGCTTTAAAAAATATGTAATCCAGTACAGATTGTTAATTTAGGTTTCTAACTCAATTCCTTGGATTACTCAAACAAACACAGTTTATAATCTGACTAGATATGATAAGAAATGCTTTACCAAGTAGATGTATACATTTGTGGTGTATTATCAGACAACATACAAAATATGAATTGTGCTGTTATTATTCTAAAGAGTGGTGATTATGTCTTGTCAGAGTCATTCCTGTCAAACAGCTGACTAATCTAGCAAGTTATCTCAGCATCTCTAATCTCATTGTGTTTTCACTCTCAGTAACCCGTCACAGGTAATATTGTGTATTGTGGTAGTATAAACCGGTCATTATGTTTGTGACTGCCTGTAGCAATGCTGATCAATAACACATTTACCTCAGTAGCATGACTCATTTGAGGACTGGACATGATGCTCAGTGTTGTCCGTGTGCTGCCTACTGTAGTCTACATCATTACCAGTGATGATTTAAATTAAAGGTGTAAAACTATGACTCTATGAGTGTATATAATATAAAGGCCCTCACTTACAAGGGAAGTAATATTACAAGGCCAGCATAACATGCTCTTATAACACAAATGAAGGTGCAGGGGGAACTAATGTGTGGGTCTCTCCTTGGCTTTCACAGAATGAGATTGAGGCTGTGGACCCCAGAGGTCGGACACCTCTGCACCTGGCTGTGTCGCTCGGGCACCTGGAGTCAGTGAGAGTCCTTCTGAGACACGGTGCTGAAGTGACTAAAGAAAACTGCATGAACTGGACAGGTTAGTCGTAAAAATGGCTGCAGAACAAATACCGAATGCTGTGATGCTATGAATGTTTCCTTCACTTGTCTCGCAGAAATGCTTTTTGAGAATTTGTGGGTTGTTTTATCACTTAGAGCCCTTCTCACATTAATCTACATATCATCTGCTGTTAATGGGGTTTCTGGTAAAAAATAAAAAGTCCATCCTTCTGACTGCAGTGGAACACTTTCTCCTTGGTCAATGCCGTCATTGTCGAGGTTTTCTAATGGATGGTTGTTACTCCTAATGAACAGATGCTGTGCTTAAAAGGTTTAGTGGTTTGTTCGTTCATAATTGTCTGTCTATGTGTAGTGCTGCAGGAGGCAGTGAGCACCGGAGATCCAGAGATGGTTCAGTTAGTGCTTCAACGCAGAGACTACCTCAAAGCCTCCACTGCCCTGGGAGGAGTGCCTGAGCTGCTGTCAAAGATCCGAGAGGTTTTACTTTATACATCTTCCTGTTGTCCCGCATCCATCCGTACAAGTGCCTGGAAACAATTACCGGCAAAGGAAATAATTGCTCTGTCCATCTTTTTTTCTTCCATAGTCTCCAGACTTCTACATGGAAATGAAGTGGGAATTCACCAGTTGGAGTAAGTCCTTTTTGTATGCGGAGATGTACAGTATATCATGAAAGTAGAGTGGAATGTGTGTGCATAGTAACCTGTTGATGTAGTGCAAACAGGCTGGCTATCAGCATTCAGTATACATAACAAAGTATCTACACGTTTTAAAATGTTGTGCCCAGAAGAACTGCATACCTGCCTTTTGGTGTTTGGTTACGAGTGACGTTGTTTTTCATGTGTGGGACATTCATATGCTGTTGTTTCACAGTCCCTCTTCTGTCCCGGGTTTGTCCAAGTGATGTTTGTCGCATTTGGAAAAGTGGCGCCAGCCTGCGAGTGGATGCCACTCTTCTTGGCTTTGAAAACATGACTTGGATCAGAGGGTGCAGAAGCTACATCTTCAGAGGAGATGGTGTGTGTGTGTGCTTTAACTCTCTTACACAAAAAAAGGATTCTTTCTTTCATTTGTACTATTCTTGTAAAATGATACAAGTCTATCCCCGCCTGTATTTTTTACAGATTCGTGTGCAGAGTTGATAGAAGTGAACCACGACGATAAAGTCGTGGAAACTGAACGCTTCAATATATCCCAAGAAATCGAGGATGTCACGCTAGAGTCAATGCAGCCAGCCGAGCAGGAAGTTGCCAAAAGGTTGACCACTCCTATTGTCAACACCTATTTGGACACCAAGGACATTGCTTTTGAGAGGCAAGAGTCGCATCTTCTTCTGCTGCTTTTTCTCACAACATGCACAGATTTAACTTCCTTTGGCCAGCCACGAAGAAGTGACAGTTTTTAATAAGTGTTGGTATCTCATGGCACACTTAATGTCCTTGCTCCCTGAGTGAGGTTACTGTGTAAACGGTGATGCCACTTTGCTTATTATTTATCGTTTTGCACTGATGTCCATTGCTGCCCTACATGCCAAGAGGCATAAAGGGAAATGATGACTGATGTCCATATGATATTTCCATATCATTCTGGCAGCTATTTGTCTAGTATGGATTATTTACACTGGTGTATTCACTCAGAGGTTGTCTGACCCTGTGTAACCCTACAAACTAACAACTTACAATAGTTATTGACAATGTGAGCAAATTGAACTGGGCTTGTTGGTCATACATCATGTCATTATCTTGAGGTAACACATTGTGTCCATATAACTTTGCTAATCTGGATAACGTCTTCAAACACAAGTGACTGTTAACAGAGAGCCGTGAATACTCGGCCGTTCATTTTGACTTGTCAAACACAGGTGCAACCAATCCCGTTAGCAATGGCTGCATTCCATAAAGGTGTTCAGTGCCACAGCTGTGACAGCCCGTGTAGTAGCTCGGTGGCTTAATGGAACTGAGTCATCGTTAATGTTAATTACAGCTTTGTGTCTCCTTCTCAACGTGTCGACGTGTTACCATTGTGATGAGAGCGTATCTTTCTTATTGACACTGATTAATGAGTTAATTGATGCTCTATGGAACTTATCCTGACTAAAATCAAAACGTAACAATGGACTGCAACACTGCAAATGATTTAAATGCATTCACAAGCTACTTAAAATATCTAAAGCATTGTTGGATTCTCTGTGTTGTGGAAGTTATTCCAAACTGAAGGACGTAAGTGGATTTTGCCTGTAATGATGCTTTAGTTTTCACAAACTGTGTTTCTTTTCTTTTCTTACAGGAACAAGTCTGGGGTGTGGGGCTGGAGAGCTGACAAAACGGAAATGGTCAATGGATTTGAAGCAAAGGTTAACAGGAGTTTAAAACATTTCATTTTTCATTATAACTAAAACTGAGTACCACTTCAAACTGTGGAGCACACTTCTGATATTATGAGTTAAGATTGTGGTTGTTTCCTCAGGTTTTCAGTGTGAACAATGTGAATGTGGTCATCAGGACGAGGACAGAGCATCTGACAGACGAGGAGAAAGCCAGGATAAAAAGTAGGTGGAACAGATTCTACATGTACGACTATATGACCTACAACTGACGGAAACTCAATCAGAGTTCTGAATTCAAACTTTTTTGTTCAAAGGTGAAAGGAACATCTTAGAGTCTCTGCTTGGAACTGTGGAGCAGCACATAAGTGCACAAGGGGTAAGACTCTCATTCAGTAACTGCATTAGAGTTCTTTGTTTTATTCCCACTTGGTTACTGATTTGATACGAATGCTCAACTTTATAGGACCTGACTCTTGAGTATGCAACTGCCACCAATCCCACTGCCATCACGCCAGAGGAATACTTTGATCCTGACTTTGACCTGGAGAACAGAGACATCGGCCGACCCATTGAACTGAGCATTCGAACACAGAAGTAAGAAAACACGTCAAGGCCACAAAGACATCATACTTCACCTCCCCATTGCTGTACGTTATTTTTTTTTTTATCAATGAATTCGGTTTTTTGCACATTGCAACAGCGTTTTGCTTTACTGTCGTCTCACCCAGGTTCAAAGGTACATTGTGGATGAGCGAGGAACATCCTCTGTCTCTGGTGGAGCAGGTAACCCCCATTATCGACCTCATGGCTCGGACCAGTTCCCATTTTGCACGTCTACGAGACTTTGTAACCCTGAAGTTTCCTCCTGGATTTCCTGTTAAATTAGGTATGTGACATTACTATCAAGTTTAATAGAAGCTACACTTTCAAGAAGCACGTAACGCTAACCCTTAGTCTCACCCCCCCACCTTTGAAATCTTATTTTTTTCCTCTATCTATCTATCTATCTCTAATCTGTTGTCCTTTTCATATGTTGCAGAGATTCCCCTGTTTCATGTGCTGAATGCCAGAATTACATTTGATAATGTCAATAAATGCAGTACTGAGGAGCAGGCGAACACAACACCAGCAGCCACACCAACATCCTCAGGAGAAGAGGAGGAAGCTGCAGGTAGCAGTACAGCCAGTTTAAACGGTACATCTTTACATGTTTAGTATAGTCACACGTCTGTGATTCCTAAACCGCTTTTCTTTTTTCATCCGTCCAGCACTGCCTCAGTTCCAGGTTTGTCCTTCAGTGTTTGAGGTGCCCGTCCATTATCATCGCAGAGGAGGCAGCCGACACACACCCGTGTCCAACAACGACGAGGAGCTTCTGCAGTACGCCATCCATCAGAGCCTCCTGGAGTCTCGCACTGCGCCGGGCCAGGTCCGAACAATCGTCACTCGGCTCTCTCGCAAATCTGTCCTCGTCATTTTTCCCTTGCTCTCCTCGCAGTTTGCTGCATCCTTTTTAATTGTCCCTGTTTGTTTGTTTGTGTCATTGTAGGAGGGGATTTTGGATCATGGTGATGGGGAATTCACTGATGTAATGCCCAGTAGCCAGAGTGACAGGTAGGAACATAGGGTTGCGACTACAGTTGCATGTGGTAAAAAGGAACAGTCCTTGCTACTTGCTTGTCCTACGGGGATTCGGATGACACTGTATATCAGTCCACTGCTTGTATGTGTCAAGTTAAAGCCACAGAGCAGAGCTGGATCTCACTTCCTCCTGTCACTGTCATTCTAGGAGTATCCCAGAGGGGGTGCTAGTGGAATTTGGAGACACCCCCAGCCCTGTCAGCTCCCCCTCCGCCTCAAGCCCCGAATCGGAGCTTCGCCTGGCCATGGAGCTCTCTGCACGAGCTCAAGAGGAAGAGGACAGGATGAGGAAGCAGGAGGAGGAAGAGCTGGAGATGATCTTGCAGCTATCACTGACTGAGAAGTAAAATGAATAAGAGGGAATAATAATAATGCAAACTTATCCAGAAGAAACCACCACACCTCAATGTTCCTTCCTAACCGCTGTCGTCATCTATGCAACTGCAGGTTTCTTTCTGTACCAGATCAGTGTTGCACAGGCAATATCAGAATCTCGCTGTCTATTTTTGGTAAGCGCATACTCCTTTATACATTTATATCTCAGCATAGCGTGTCTCCATCCTCAAGCTCAATTCAAGAACTCTTTCAGATAATATCAGGTCGGTTCTACTTTTTATTCATTTCCTGTCCGAATCTGAATCACAGCAGCATCCAGAGTGGGGCCAAATCAGTGTAGTTATGGTTCTATGAACAAAATGACAACTCAAGGTGACTTCATGTTCTGACTCTCAAATGTGGCGCTTGAGGTCCAGAGCACTGTTTGTTGTTTCATGCCAGCTGCTGCATCAGTCCCTGGTGTTTGGATGGCTTAGAACAGCCTCACACAATAAAAAGCTGATAGTGCTGTGGACCTAAAGAGACAGATGAGTGTTGTCACTCTGAGGTCTTCCTACAGAGTCACTTTTTTGAGGACCGTGAACTCACTGAATAACAGAAATCTCAGGGTTCCAATTTTACACATTTTACTTTGGAATTAAATTTAAATGTAACGGAAATGTTTCTTTGGTGTGAAATGGTGTCCCTCATGCATATCTACCATATCAATATTGATTCAGAAAGCTGAGTTAATTGAGTCAAAGTTTCATAAGTAAATGATTTGTCTTGTACTTTGTGAATGTACACTCTACAGATGGGTAAACGGAGGCATGCTGCTGTGAGAGAACATGTAAATCAAATGCATGGTAACGTTCTATCTTTGCTGCAACGAGGATGGGGGGGGGGGGAAATTAACTTTCCCGGTCTGATTTTTATTGAACATTTTCTCAGATTTCATTATTTTTGTTAACCGTCACTGAGTAACTGCACCTCAGTTCAAAAAGTCAACAGCCGAGAACAGTCTGTCTGTGGATTTATAGCCGTCATGCAGTTTTAAAAGCAGTCACACAACTAATGCTGCAGAGATTATTTAGATTTCCAAAGGCAGTCTATTCGCTTTTTGTAGCCACAAACAACTCTGGACCTCTGAGCAGAAGAAAAGACGGCACAGACTCTCAAGATCAAGCATGTCCGCCATATTTAGGATTATTGTCTTCAGCACGTGCCAAGGGACTTTGATCTGGAACCGCTTGGTGGGGGCAAGAGGTGGTGACAATTGTGGTGCCACTAAACTGTTGAACAAATTTTTTTTTTAAATTTTGTAACTTAAAAAGAAGATGACGAGGTTTCATTGACACCAGGGTGATGCTGAGTGACGCGCATTAACCACTATAGTTGCTTTCACTGACAACCAACCACTTATCCAAGGTCTCTGTGTAGCTGTGTCTGACAGTCGGGCTGCAGCTGAAGGACTAATTATTATTATTATTATACGACGCTCAATTTTCCAAACTGCTGAACCGTCGACTTTAAAAAGGCTAGCTTTGGTTAATTTAATGCAGGTCTTTGTAATGCACCGTTCCAGCTGCAAACTTGTTTTTTTTTTTTAATGTTTTAAATTTTAAGAAAATGTTCTAAAATAAAAGCACTTTATTTCCATGAGGCTAAATGTGTTTTATTTACAGAAACACAGCTGGTAACAAAGGAGACCACCGTATATGCTTTTCTACTGTAATTAGTTGGGTTTCTATATTTATTGTCAGGTCCAGTGTTGACCTCTTGAGGATAACATGATCATGACATGATTCATCTGCGTTGAATAGATTTTGTTTGGCTATAGCTGCTAAATACGGTCCTTCCACTAACGATAAACAAAAAATAGAATATATGTTGTCTAAATTATCATTTAGATTGGGAGCCAGTTTCAATGACATGATTTCTAAATTGATATACGGATTACTTCATTTTATTGTGTATTATTTTTGTTTGTTTGATCAACAGCTATTTGTCGAGCTTCTTTATCACAAAATCAAGTACAAAGAAGGAAATGGACGCCTTCATCTGACTAATCAACCCTGAACAAAATGATGATATACAAGATTAATAGTTTTATTTCAAGGGAAAATAGTTATTTCTTTGTATAAATAATAAATGACTCCACCTTTATTAGTACTATATTTCCTTTTTTTTTTTTTTTTTTTTTAAATGTCCAACAAAATCCACTTATCTACAACTATGAGATTTAAAGTGTGTCACACAAGCACATTGATTTCAGAGAAGTAATGTGCAGATTTCCATATTTAGGGAAATAAATCTGACCAAACATGGTTTAATTGATGCAGAATTAAGCAATGACCACTCATTTTATAATCTGTACATTTATTTAACGTTTGCAAAACTCCAGGCTTTTGGACCAAATGGCCCTTAAATAATAATACTTGTCGCAAAAGCTAACGAACTACACCTAATAACAGCCCATATAAATAAATAAATAAAATGTCATATCTAGCTGATTATCAAATAATTTCCATCAAACCCACGTCCCTCGTAATAAATAAATGACAGCATATCAAAATAGGCAGGTGTAAGAGTGTGACGCATTCAAATATACAGTTACTAAAATAACCTGATCGGACGACAAAATGAAACCACAGTTGACATATCATTGTGCAGTCTGAGTGTTTTCAGTTATGGGTGGCTGTGACGTCAGAGCTCGACTCTCCCGTCAAGGTCCCGTCATGAGGCGATTGTGGCCCCCGGGGGCCTGGGCTCCTCGGTGCTCGCTGGTCTGTCCCACTGTCTTTACCTCCTCCAGGGTTCGGACCGGCTTCACCGACGAGACAGCGGTTTGTAGACACAGACAGCCATGATGATCATCAGCACGAGCAGCACCGCGAGGACGCTCCCCATAGTGACTGTGAGCACGAGAACACGGCAACAACATCAGATACACTGGTCTCAAATGATCGGTTAAACTGGTATTACTGGTTTTAAGTCTCCCGCTCCACTACTACGTAGTTGTCAGTGTAGAGTAAAGACATGCAAGACATGTGAAGTGTGTGAACGCCTCACGAGAGGCAGCATGTCGGCGTCACTGAGAGGCCTTACGTCAGTCTCCACAGTCTCGCATCAAGTCTCACCTAAGTTCTGCTTCTGTAAAACAACATAAGCTCTCTCGGTCAGTTTGGAGTCCTCGGGTTGTCCGTTAACTAACACACTGAGACACATTATTAGCGTTTGTGGGATGAGCATCATAGCGGAGGAGGATGGTGATGGTGGTGGTGACGGTGAGGCGTTTCTTCTTCCGCTGTCGGCTCTGGGTCCTAAAGCCGTTGTGTTGTTGTATTCACTGTCAGAGCTGATCAAATATGAGGCCTTGTTGATTAATCCATTTCTCGATTGGCAGAAAGTTAACTGTCAACTATTTTGATGAGAGATTAATCATTTGAATGTTTTTTTTTGGAAACACTTTATTTTTGTATCAGTCAGTGATTTCCTGGATATCCCCAAAAAATATTTAAAATGTAAACACAAGAATAGGCTGAATAACAGATTATTGGAAATGTTGTTCTTCATAAATTATGAAATGATTGGTTGTCTTTTCGCTTTTTTAAAAAATATCTTCAGCTGGCCTACTGACTTGCTGTGTTAAAGTCAGTTAATTTAATTTAAATCAGGAGTGTAACTGGACACTGCCTTTATTTATGTCCACAAAAAGCACAATAGAACCCAAATACACGACTCAGGCGTGCAAGAGTCTTTACTGAAAATATACAACAATGCAAAATCTAGGCAGGCGAGCACCAAGAGGCACAGGCAAAACCCAAATTAAACAGACTGGTTAAAAAACGAACAGGCTATCAGACAACTATGGTATAACCGATATTAATGCACACAGGGAGCTAATAAGGAAAGGAGAACCAGGTGAGTATAGTGCTGGAAAGGATCCCTGGCTCTGACTTCTTAAATGTGATTATTTGCTGGTTTTCTGAGCCCACTGTAGCAGTTATATTTATAGCAGAGGCCTGGGGCTGTTAGTTGGACAGAAAAAAACAATTTGAAGGTGTGAGCTTATTGTTATAGAAGACTAATACAACTGGAGTATTCACATTTGAGACGCTTAAACCAGTGAATTCCTTTGACCATTTCGCTTAACAAATGACTTATGTGATTGATATTTTTCTGACAATCAACAATTAATTAATCTTTTCAGCAGGTTCATAATTACACGGCCCTGACTGTTCTGCAGGTGTTTCCAGGTTGTTTGACTGTGAAAATACAAAGTGTTCCCTTACTGTTAACCATCAAACAAGTGTGAGGGCCCCCATCACATTTCCCCATTTCTGAAATGTCAAAGAGCAATGAAGAATAGATATAAAATAAAGGTCAAGCTCCTTGCGGTTATATCCTTACATAATTACTCAGTATGACTGATGCGTATGGCCTTTACCTTCATCCTCTATAGAACGTCGGAGCGCACACCATTGCCAACACTTATGGCTCTTAATTATATGCCAGAGAAGCTTAATGAATGTGAGGACATTTCACTCACGGTGGACTGAAATTAAAACGAGAGGCTTCCGAGATAAATTAACCAAAACAAGAAAACATTTCATGACAGCATGAACTGAAAGATCCTGTTTTAATAGGAGATCCGAGGGCATTTAAACTGAATTAAACAATTTTTTAATGCTATGAACTGAGTCAAGAATGTACATTCCTTGGCTACAGAAGCTTAATAAGGTAATTTAGTCTTTTTTTGTTATAAAGTACAAGAAGCCTATAACTGTCATCTTTTTTTTTGTAAGTTTGTATCTCAAATACCTCAAATGATTGTTTCACATTGATTCATCTACATACAGCACACTGCAGTCATTTATTAACATGACGGGCAATAAATCAGCGATCCAAGACTCAACAGTTTCAGCTCACAGCACCACTGTGAGCCGCCGCAGACTCTTAGTTTTATTCCTAATTGGTGACTTTCATAATAATTGATGGTCGATGACAAAGAGTGCTAATTTAAAATCAAATGTTACTTTGATCTTTCTGTGTGCATACACTCAGGTCTGATTTTGTATAACAGTTTAATGCAGGTTTGGTGGGCTTTTAAAACTCCAAGTTGCATAGTATTTACAATAGTAATCATCTTCTTCTATTACAATTCATGTAATTTTATACATATGTGTATATACAGTATATAATATATGATGTTCTCTTGGCAGTTATACCTGTAATTCCTCTTTTTATCTCCCCTGTACTATAGCTACTGCACTGTGTTTTGCTGGGTTGGATGCACTGCATCATATACACAGTATCAGTCATTTTACCCTTAAAATAGGGTTTGTTGAGCTGTTAATGTCTGGTTGGGAAGAAACCATCTGTTTAGCAGTGTCTCTTTTATGTGTCGCGTGTGCTTGCCTGTTCTCTACTTCAATGGCAGTCAGTGACACAAAAGGGCTTTGATCTGCACGTCCATCAACCAGCAGCTATCGAATGTTGCGAACCACTTTCTACTCTCGTATACGTTCATACCTGTTGTCCTTGAAGTGATCGGGGCTGGTTTAGGAATAAAAATGAGTTGAATAAGTAAAGATCTGATGTGATCGCGTGTGTGTGTTTGAAGTTAGAGGCTGCTCTGTTTCCTTATATGTTGATGGATTCTGGATGTTGCAAATTAGATTGTTAATTAGAATATCTAATAGAGGTGAGCAGCACCAGCTGACAGCCATTACAAAGACAGGAAGATCACCATATGGAGATTTACAAGAACACATTTCTCCTGTGGTCTGCTACATGTTTCCAATACAAAAAAATGCAGTTCTTGTTGTTATATATCGATAGTGGAATTCAACTAAATGTTGTGTGATTTTTTGTTTGTTTGTTCATATTCATGTTTAACCTCTGAAGAGAAACACAACAATGAAATATGTAATGAATACCATCATTTATTTATACACGTCTGACTAGTACATAAACATAAACCAGGTTGAAAAGGACTAAAATTACACAACGATCATCAAATTGCTCATCACAGTACTCTCTGAACATAAATAAAGGATAACGTGCTTTTAAATAAGTTGAGACACAAGTGATATGATGCAAGAAAAAAACAAACATTTGAACAGACTTACATTTGAGTGAAAACATTGGAGAGACACAATATCAATACAACCTTTACAATTTTTGTACATACAGTGTAATAGTTAGGCAGATTAAGGCAAAACAGTCTATTTTGAGTTAAATAAAGACATCAGATAAAGATCAAAAAGTTCATTTTGAATATGAAGAACCAAAATATACTCACAGTTGTCACTCACTGTACATATTGTACTGTAGGTAGGACACAGGCTCTACGTTCTATAATGCTAATACTAAAACAATGCATTAGATTCTAAGTTTCAAAAAGATATTTTTCTGAAAATGAGCTGATGGTCTTTGTCTGAGTGCCTCAGATGTCTCCAATACAAACACTTGTAGGGAAAAACAGAACATTTTTAGCAGATATATCCAGCAGCTGGCGTGAAATCCTATAGAAGCACTGTATTAAAGAACTACGGGGACCAACGTGATTAAGGTTTGCTCCCATTTAATCTCTCTCCTCTGTCTGTCCAGCAAAAACAAAACAAGTGTTAAGACCTATGTCCTATACAAACCACACACAATATCTTTTCAAATTGTCACAAAACAATACAGCAGAGCTGGTAACACTTGGTGTGAAACACATTAGCTAACATACTGAGAGTATGCTCTCCACTGAGTAAAGTTTTCTTTATTACATGAAAGTAGATACAAAACACTGCTGCCATGATTATTCTAGCGGCAAAACAAACTGTGTTGACCTCACTGTTTCCATTGTTTCATCTAGCTTTGACAAACAACAGAAAATATAGAACTTAACTAGAGAAAACAGCCCCATTCAATAGAAATGATACGCTGACTGTTACATATATAAGTTACATTTAGTTTCCTTGGCATATTGTTCTTGTGAGAAAAAAGACAGCTGATTGAGGGGAAAAGCAGACCGTTAACTTTAGGTAATCGCTACTGACTCCTACAACCGCACAATTGCAACACTTTGAAAATGGCATAATGTGAGACTTTACAGTAAAGTGTGAGTATTGCTACCTCAGTTCCTCTTGGAATTTCAACTTTAGCAGCATTTACCATTTTACAGAGTGTAC